GAGAAATACTGTGTATGATGACAAACGTACAAAACGCTTAAGTTAGGGATGGTTGGTATAGGCTTTATCGTACAATCGTCATTAAAGGGTAGTGTCAACATCGATAAATTCAAAGATCCATCCTCGGGTTCAAAATGATGGGTTACACAACCGTATATTCGACAAATAACTTAATTGTGACATATTGTTCAATACTCTTATAAGGTTATTCAAGATGATTTTTGCATGACTTGCTTCAACAGTACGTTGACCAGTTCGACAAGCCTGAACGAGTGATGACGAAGGGTACAAACACAGGCTGGTCAACCAGTGTGTCGATTTGCAGTGGAAACGCTGTACGAGTTGATAAGGGGTACATGATCCTTTTCTTGAAACAAACGAGGGAATTTAATCACATTTATACAATTCATTTTATTTTGACGAAGAATTCAAATAAACTGACGTCCAAAAGAAACTTTACCAGAGTTTGAAATCACTCTTGCTCAAAAACAACAAAACATACATGCATGAAGTAAAGTGTATTGAGAAGATCAATATATCAACATAATCAACACTGAAAATGACAATCATACCGCGACCGAGAATGACGTCAGAGCCCCCCAAAGTTGGGTGTGGTACAAAACTCGAGCTTTCAGAATCATGGACAATAGGCAGAGTACATAAACAATCGCTCACGTTCAATAACAAGTCATTAGTAGCGTGTGTGACCACCAAATGCCTCAATACACGCAAAAAACTCTTCGACGCACAGAAAAAGTCAGTCGTCTGATGAGGTCACGTGGGATTTGACGCCATTCTTCTTGGAGGGCCAAGATCAGTTCTTGCCGGTTGGATGGAGAGTGTGGTCGTTGTCGAACACGACGATCCATCAAGTCCCAGAGGTGTTCTATGGGGGACATGTCGGGTGAGCGTGCAGGCCACGGCAGGACGTTGACGTTGTTGGCTGCGAGGAAGTTAGTGACAATTCTGGCTGTATGGGCTCTAGCGTTGTCATGCTGATAAATGACACCACGTGGCTGCTGTTTGAGAAATGGTAGGACAACTGGACGAAGAATGTTATCCATGTAACGCTGAGCAGTCAAGTTTCCGTCAACGATGACCTGCGGTGTCCTCTCCTGCCCACAGATCCCTCCCCACACCATGACACTCCCTCCACCATATGGTACGACCTCCTGCACTGCACGCCGCCGCTCATTCACCCCTTCGGCGGTAAACACGTTGTCTTCCATCAGCCCTAAACATACAGAATCGACTTTCGTCAGTGAAGACAACCCTCTGCCAGTCACGTCGTTGCCAACGTCGTACAGTCCGGGCCCATCTCAATCGCAGACGACGATTTTGCGCTGTCAATAGCTGTCCTCTGTGTGGTCTAAAAGCCCTGATTCCATGAGCCCTGAGTCTCCTGGCCACTGTCTGTCGACTAATCCTGTGACCTAACCCTTTGTCGCCGATGACGTCACTGTCAGGAAGCGATTTCGGAGGTGCAAGGTACGCAAGTACCGGTCATCATGGGGCGTGGTCACCCTGGGTCTGCCTGTTCTTGGCCTGTCAGCGCCCTGCCCTGTCTGTCTGTAACGTTGCATCAAGTTGGTAACGGCAACACGGGAGCAACCGAAGGTTCGTGCAATATGGGCGTGGGTGGCTCCCATCTGTACCATACCCAAGGCTCGTTCACGTTGTTCGACTGTGAGTCGTGGCATTTCTTTTGCGTTTTTTTTATCACTGTGGATGTCTGACTTGCCGTTGCAATCGTTTTATACCCTTACCGACACGTGCATTTGAAGTTGTCCGTGGTGCACGTGTTTTTCACTTTTTCGCGTGTTATCTCGCAGACATGTAAAAGATGATTAACATTTTCTGCATACACTATTGTTGTATTTAGGTTATGTGTTTTAGATAGACTTCATCGAAAAAAAAAGTATACTTTGTCTGAAATTTATATTTTCAGTTGGTAAAGTTTCTTTTGGACGTCAGTTTACAACAAATGAGTTGACAGATCCCGTGCATACACAAATAACATCCGGTATCTTCGGATAACTCTTGTACAGTTTCAAAGAGTATACGAATTATCATAAATTTCTTGCAATCAATTGCTGAAATATATCTGCTTGTATCCAAATAGAAAGGAATTGAAAAATTATAACGAAAATGTGTTTGTCACTAAAGTAATTTTTCGCTTTAAACTTGAAACGTACTTGAAGATCATTAAACTCGACAATCGTTGGTGGATTGCGCCAAGAAACCTTGATACGAAATATATACGTACAATAATCCCCTGAAAACATAACCTCCTCTGAAAGATTAAGAGGATTAAAGTAATTTGGGCTAACATCAAGCACTGTAATAACATACTCTCTTAAAATTCCAATGAAATGACTGGTGACTTACCAAAAAGTCAAATTATATTTTGCTCCTTTTTTTTTTTTACCTAGTTCTAATTGCCTACCCTTATCACTTTTTTTTCTGAAATTGAGTTAAAACTTCTAAATTTGAGACTGCAATATATGTCTTCAGAGGGTATTTCATACACTATGTAACAACTGTTTTACCCCATTTCAAATTTGGTTTCATGCTGAATCGCTCTTTTCAACTACTGCCAACACACTTTAAATGCAAGGAAACCATCCCAAACATATATTTTTATATATAAATACATTGTGTTGATAACCACGCACTTAACCTACAGAAATAACACTCCAATTAGTTTATATATATACAACAATATTCGATATAGCAAGTTTCAAAAAGTTCTCACACCCCACACTAAGTCATATTTAATGACCCTTGTACGATAAACCCTGTACCAACCCTGACAAGGGACAAGGATAGGTTCTAGTCATTTAACGCCTTTGACACTAAACTTATAAGGTTATTACAATTTACGTAAAAAGTTATTACATTTTACCGCAAGTTGAGATTATTACAATTTACGTCAATTTTTATTACAATTTGCGTATTACAATTTACGTCCAATTTTATTACAATTTACGTTGTTATTACAATTTACGTCAAAAATATTACAATTTGCTGCAAGTATTACAATTTACCTTTTTATTACAATTTACGTCGTAACAAGACCTACATATATGTATGTTGTATAATAAATGACCTCAAAGGAGCACCCGATAATACGTTCATTGATTGATTCTTGTTATCTACTCTATATATGGGTTTGCTGATCAAACGTGGGCGTCATGAAAATTGTTGTCACGAGATCCATTTTCAGTTGTCCAATCAGACTTCTCTGAAACACCCAAAACACAACGAGCAACTTATCAATGTGATAAATTGAGAAACGAACACCTGTCATAATATCCCGAATTTAACGCCTGTTATATATTTTTATATATAATGTTACGCAGACACGTGCCTTGGAACACGTTTCTTTGTATAGCGGCAGATTTAAGGGATATTGTTACTTTATGTCGATATAAAAGAGTAGCTTGAAAACATTCAACAGTTTCAGAATCCCATTAAATTTCAATACAAGTTGGCAGTAGGGACAGCACATGTGTGATATCTGCGTTAGGTGAGACTTGTAATTACTGCCACGAGGAAAGCTGCGAAGGTTTCTTAGCGTGCCACCTTGCGATAAGATTAACTCTGTCACCAACAATATGTACATGTGCGCTCTCATGGCCCACTGACCGACCGACATGCGCAGACACGATATTACAGGAAGTGTACTTACCCAACACGACCAAGGCGAAGGTCGTTTGATATGCTGGAATCAGCTCTGTCAGGTAGGGAGATAGGGACATTTCTTTCTTTTTCGTGTCGTTTTGTCATGATGTCATTGTTGAAGATATTGTAACGATGAGTGAGTATGGTTGTAGGGTCACAATGTCTACAGCTAGAAAGTGTCAGGTGTATATATCTCTGCTCCACGTTGCGTGGGGTGGTGGTGGTAGTGACAATTGAGCGTTCGTGGTCGCAGTTGTTGATTGATGTCAATTTCAATTAGGAATAATCCGAATTACAATGACAGCAGAAGAAAACTGACCATTTGGGTGAAATTCCCGTTTTTCCTCTTACGTGCTTTCAGATGAATATTTCTGTTTGTACACCTGTATGGAATTGTCTATTTCAAGTTTGTTGACTGGTTCAGAATACAGGCCAAGTGATGGACTTAATGCATATTATCTTTGTATGTTCTGTCAGGTTTTGTCATATAACATAAAATCATCTCCCTCAGTGCTCATATAATTCTTTCTCAGTTTCTCAGTTAATATTGGTATTTATTTGAAACATTGTGTGTTATTATAGTAGATCTCTTAACAATGTTACAAGTGGTTCAACTTAGCCACTTAAAATAAATAATTGACATGTCTAGATAGAGAATATTATACAAGTATTTGTGTCATACAGGTTAAATGAAATGAGTGTCATAATTCTTGTATTTTCCGAGCTAGGTTGAGGGTAATACATGAATACTTACACAAGTTTCATAAGATCAGTATGACACCTATAAGTGTAATAATTTCTTTATTACCCATTATTTCTTTATCCTTTATTCTTGAGCTCCCCTTTACAAAAAAATGCACTATCACCACCTTTGTCCTAGAAAACCACAATTTGACGAATGATGTCCACAATCTTTCTAGCGTGACTTATTTCGTGTTTAAGAATGATGTCAACATTAACGTCCGGATGACGGACACAGTGAACTGGTGCGCAAGAAGTGATATTTGGGCTAGTGCTCATACAATGTTTATTAACTCAGTTATTTCTAACCCCGTGGGTAAAAAATAGTACTATTGGATAGCTACCAGTTATCGCCAAGCACCAATTATCGCCAACCCCGTTATGGCGCACACATGATCGCATGTCATTTTACTTTTGCTCATTTTTAATAGAAGAGAGAAATATCTATCTGAAAATGATAAATTAAACTGACTCTTGTTAGGAAATATTATGAAACACACTACACACCTTGCTCGAATATAACTTTAGAAAAGACATGCTAGAGGTACATAAATCTAACAACACCATGATGCCCATATAGTTCTGTCATTGCATACCATCTGTCTGTCATTGCATACCATCTGTCTGTCATTTCTTCCCAAAATACAATTTGAAAAAAGTTAGCTATTTATAAAAAAAATGCAACTGTATATATCAAGAAATCCATAGTAGATAGTATTATGGATAAGCATGTGTAGATTGAATGGTGGGGGTATTGGTTTACGTCAGCTGGCAGACGACAAATTTATGAACAGATTTCTTGTTGGTTTTAAAGAATAAAATATTTGAGTGTGATACCAGAGATAATAGAAAATATAATTTGTATAACTGAAGTGGTCATGTGATCACATTGCACATGCTGTTTGAACCAAGGCAATAGCTGTTTCAGCTAGTCAACAGGAAAGTTTTCACTGTATTGGTTCCCTCTCGCCGCATTATAACTGAAATCTACTCAAATCTTTCAATGGACAGTTTTACAAAAATCAAAGTTTTAAGGACAGTCAATTTTATACACAATATTTCAGAAAAATGGCGATAACTTGTGGCTAGCCAGGACAGGATAGAATTATATGACCCTATGTTGTTTATCAGACATCCTTATTGTAAAAGATTCCTTCTTATATTGCGGAGCATGAGTAGCCACATCGTGTAATGCACCACAACTAGCCATGCAGAGTCGTGTCCCTTAGCAAATAGCATGCCAGGATCCTATTATTGTGAATCCCAGTTTCACCCTAATTGTGTCAATTTGTCATCATTAGTTCGTCAGCACTACTCTCGGGGTCTTTGGTTTTGCGAAAGAGGTATACAGTTTTCTAAATTAACGGAGGCAGTTGTTGTGGTTTGCTTTTATAGTTTATCGAACTGTCTCAGGACAACCATTGTCCAAATGGACATTTAATTCCAAGCTAATTACCATGGAGCCATGACATGTATCAGAACAAGAATCACTTAATTACAATGTTTCAAGACGCTAATACCATCGTTAGTCCTGATCACCATAGTGTTGTACATCTACTGTCTGCCAGCCTGAACAAGGTTTACAACTGTGTGACTTCTCGTTAATTACTGTTGTTCATATTTATGAACATATCCATGTCATGTGATCATGGCTACAAAAGCCTTAGTCCAGAGTCGTAGATGGAAGTCCTCGTGCGGCTTTCTTGGATTGTTAGGCTAGATACTCAGGGGCACCACCACCACTACTACCGCAAAGTGCCATCTTCCCGAGGCAAGAGAGTTAACTGACTTTAAAAGTCCAGTTTCCACCGTTGCCGAACTAGGCTGGAATTCCTGGGCACGATCGTAGCGCCACCAGTGCCTATTACGAGTACCGTATTCGACGTAATAAGCGCCTCGCTCTAATAAGCGCCCACGGCGATATTTGCAAATATTTTGGCTTGTGAACGATCCCAACTAGCACCCCTTCCGATTGATCAATGTACACAAGACTTATTCATTCGTGTATAATCCGTGTGTCATATGCATCCTTAGTTATGGGAAATTAAATTCTGGAAAAATATATCCGTCGTATATAAACATTTCAGGCTGTCAGCATAAACCACGAAATTTATGATCTTTCAACTCTGATGTTTTTCACCAAAATAATATTCTAATAAGAGCCCCCTATTTTGTAATTTAGAGAGCGCCCTGGGCGCTTATTATGTCGATTACGGTAATGTCCTTTCTGCGGCTTTCTTGGATTGTTAGGCTAGATGCTCAGGGGCACCACCACCTGCCACAATGTGCCGCTTGTATATATGTACCTGTATGAAGCAAACTTGTATATACTGCAAGCCATCGATTCAATGTTGTCACTCCTTCCAAGAACCTTACCCCGTGTCCTTGCATTTAGGAATAGGCACATAATCAATATCAATGTTGCATTGTTAAGAAAGAGACCAAGGATTGAGTGTAGTTGATGTGGCAAACTGCTAATAATGTAAATTATCATAGATTGAAATATATTGATGTATATATGGAATATGTCATGTATATCGCCAGTATGTATGAAATGTTGTCAACCAAACACATCCAGTTTGTTAAAATATGTAGACCAAATATGATGGATGGTCATGTTGAAAGTTGTAGGTACGTCCCTTGGGCACGCAAGAAACCATGATTGTGGGTTGCAATGCCGGGTCGCCCCGATTATGTGTCTAGGTTTGTCAGGGCCATACCTGTACTTGTGGGTTCCACCGAAGTGTTAAACGTCTGAGATCTACATCTCTTCTACACAAAGAGTTTTAACTATTAATGGGACAATTGTCACCATTAGATTTTGTTTGATACATCCATAGCTGTTTTTCCTTCTGAAGATTGTCAATGCCATGACATGTTTTATCAGATTCACTGAATCTACTTCATGGATCGATAATTGATGTGGATGCGCCACCTTGATTGACAGAAAGACAGAACCATGTTACAAGGATACGCTAGCCCACGGGGGAGGTAACTTGAACAGCTGCAAGAAGTCCACCCATTATGATGTAACTGAAAAAGTGTGCTCCATCACAGGAAAATACTTTTAGCGCCTTTCACCTTTTAGCGAAGCATTTTGGAATGTAAGCATATCTTAGAATGTAAGTGCATAACGAAACGTCACCTTTACAGTAAATAAAGAAGTTGCTATGCATAAATCATGTCTACTTTGTTAGCTTAGCAGGAAAGCCTCTTCCCCTATACCTGCCCTGTCATCAGTGAGATACGAGTCACTTCTACAAAACCGTAATGGTAGTTACAAATTATAACAGGCTAATGGGGAAATGTTCAATTTCAATTTGGGAAGTTTGAGGACATTTTCTTGAGACCTGAGGCCGAATATCCACATCAGAGCAGGTGAAGAATTATCCCTTATATTGTATCATTTCTCTCCTTTGTTGCTTGGCAACCAATTATCGGCTCTCTCATGTGGAGGTACACCAGCTTTCTGTCATTGTAAAGAGAAATTATTAAGAATGGTTTGCATGTGTTTTCGAATCAGGCTACTATTTCTTATTTTTGTTTATTTTGTGCATTTCTGCCATCATGTATATTTGATTAAATTTGATTACATGTCTGTCATCTTAAATAATGAATAATTTTCCACAACATTACTGTAATTACACAATAAGACAATGAGAGAGAGAGGGGGTGGGGCAGGGGGGTTTATAACTGAAATTTTAAGTGATTATTGTTGTGCACTCTTCTCAGTTGAATCAAAATATAAAAGTTCTGTTTCTGTAGATCGATACAAAAATCAAAAATCAAATTAGTATCTGTGATGAAATGAGACTGCCAGATCAAAGTTACTACGTTCATCTTGTTTGAGCGACTGTAACACGAATATAACCAACATGTTTTGATTGTTTTTTTTCATAGTTTAACCAATCACAAGGTGTGTTACTTAACATGTTTTTACTACACGTGTCAAATATTGTGGGACGATGAATGTTTTGCTTCCGTTTTGACAATTTGACTCTTTAATTCTGTCTGTGAGTCAGTGACAGTACTGACACACACAAAATGTCTCAGCAGCGCAACTTGCATTCCTATTCCTAGGGGGGGGGGGGGGGGGGGGGGCACATCTTAAGTGAACAATGCAGCAGTATCACCATTACCTATACGGAAGCAAATAAGTGAGTATGCAAAAACAGGTTGGGGATTTCTTCCAAAATGGTCAGTTTCCATGGCTCATGAAATTTGAGACTGGATTGTAACTATCCTAGCCCACCTGACGAGCAATATGACTTCATACACCACACATAAAAGACCAGCACAAGTGCCCGCATACATGACC